ATAAAGCTGATAACTATGATAAGATGATTAATGAGTTAGCAAATGGGCTCTTCTGAGGAAGATAGGTGACATAATTACGAAAATCTATCTCATTTGCTACTACCTCTGTTGCCTTAACATTAGTACAAGAGGAAGTGATGTGGTTCTCATGAAAAGTGAATTTATGAGGTTGGTATTGAATTGATAAAGTGAAAATGAAGTAAAAATGATTTTTGAACCACACAACATTACCAAATTTGATATAAAACAATCTTAGAGCCTGTTTGGTGACTCTGTTTTTTGGCTCATCAGCCAACTTCATAACCAAACACGTAACCTTTGATTTCGCTTATTAAAATGTGTAATAATAAGAAAAAGTAAGGTTGGAGTTACTTTCCTAACCGTATTGGCTGAAATTATAGATGACCAGTTTAGCTATTTTTTTAAGCATAACCATTTCATCTATTCAAAATACACTTTATTAATAAATTTAAGGAAAAAAGTTATATGAAAAAATGACCATTTTAGCTATTTTCATATAACTTTTTCCTTGAACTTAGTAATAAAATATATTTTGAATACAATCTTTTTCATTTATCAGCAGAATCAGCCAATACAACCATTTCAACCAGAACTTCATAAATTTCAGCAGAATCAGCCGATTCAGCCGATTTCAGTGTTACCAAACGGATTCTTAGTGTGATGACGAGAAAGAAAAGATGAGATTATCTTAATTGGACGGAGGGGTATTACATAATCATTACCAAAACTGTTACATGTTTATTTTATATTAGTAATGTATATATTTTGAGCTTGTTTCATAGTCTCTATTTTGTCTTAGCAGACTAATCAAATACTCCAGTAAAATTTTATGAAACATGCAGTTTTTTATTCCACACGCTAAACTGGCTATTGAGAAAAGAAGGATTGGTGTTACTTTCTAGTGAATTTGAAGAAACAGTCTATTGTAACTGTTTTTCGTAAAGTATACGCTTTTGTAATTCGGCACATTTAGACAATTTGCTCGGAATTTGATAAAAGTTAACAAAATCATTCGATTTAATCAATTTCATTGTTGCCAAGGATTGTTCAAGTCTTGAGCTACAAGTTTTGTACGGAATATATTCTAGAGGTAAAGCGAAAAGGAAAAGATGGTGAAAAAGAAAAGAAGGGAGATTGACTCTTCTACAACTTGCAAGAGAAGGGTATACTTCTTACTTTTTATCGTTTTCCACTACATTTTCATAGGTCTATAAAGTTTCTCTTCAAATTATAATGTTTTGTTAAAATATAACCGTTTCTCATCTTAGCATGTCCCGATTTTGTTCCTAAGCATAAGTGCTTTTCTGATATCAACTATCTTGCATGAACCAATTAAATACTTTGAAAATGATTTCTAGTTAGTAATATCAACTATTTGAATAAACCAAAAAATGTTATGAAGCCACTTTTAGACAAGAAATGTAATCATTTGAAACATAAAAAAACTTATACCAAACAATCAGGGCCGGCCCGGGCGCTATCCTTCTTAGATTTAATGGATGGATTATTTTTCAAATAAGAAAAGTGAAAAATGATAAGTTTAAAGATGATAAGAAAATAAAGTGGTGACATAAATGAAATGAGTTATCGAAAAGTGGCCTGAATGGGATATTTCCACTTGAAAAAAAGAGATAGATTGCTTACCCTAGACACTTATTTGATTCACTTCGTTATAAATTGTGTTCAAATATAGATTGTTGTGGACTTTTAAAAAAGTCAATAGACTTTTAAATCCATAGACTTTTTTATGAATGAATTCTATGGACTTTTAAATTCATGGATAAGTTTATTGATTTTCAAAAAGTCCATAGACTTTTAAATGCAGACCGCTACCGCTGGTCGTCAAAATTTTCACCTAGATTGTCGCTACCGATATGAATGTGACCTGTCCGCCTCCATCACCGGAGTTCCCCGCTGTCGTCATCGGACTGACGCGTCACCAACAAAATGGCTTTGGTTGTGAAAGGGAGCTAGGGACAATTAATTATATTAATTAATTAATTAATTAATTAATTAATGAATTAAATTAGAGGTGAATATGTAATATTTATTCCTATTTAAGAAAAATCAAACATTTAATCATACTTTAAGAATAATGCCATGTTTTAGTCGTACCGTAAGTGATTTCCTCTATATAATACGGAGTACGATAAGAAATATATAAGTAAATAAGTAAATAAATAAATAAATAAATAAATAAATATATAAATAAATAAATAAATAAATAAATAAATAAATAAATAAATAAATAAATAAATAAATAAATAAATAAATAAATAAATAAATAAATAAATAAATAAATAAATAAATAAATAAATAAATAAATAAATAAATAAATAAATAAATAAATAAATAAATAAATAAATAAATAAATAAATAAATAAATAAATAAATAAATAAATAAATAAATAAATAAATGAAAAAATGTAATTCATAGAGCAACACAAAATTCTACAAAAATAAATTAAGCCCGGCCCGGTGGATCGGTACCGGTACCGGGCCTAGGACTGAGCGGGGGGGGGGGGGGGGGGGGTTAATTGGGGCGGTTCCAGGACTGCATATTTGAGGACCAGCCCGGCCGATTCGGGTCTGGTCCGGGTCTTATTTGTTTTTTGTTTTTTTTTTTTGTTTTTTGGGTTTGGGCCTATGGTGGGTAGGTTGGGCTGGGTGTTTTGGAGGGGTTTGGGGGGTGAGGGTTGGAATATATAAGAAAACCCAAAAAAATGAACCAGCCCCGCCCGGTACCAGTAGACTCCTAGGCCGATCCCGGGCCTTACCCAAAAAATTCCAAGCCCGGCCGGGCCCAACTCGGAACCGAAACCGGGCCGGGCCCGGTCCATCCCTAGGAGGGAGGGGAGGAATGAGGTGGGACGGGATGAAGAACCGATATAAGAAAAGTCCACAGAAATCTTTGGTGAGTAGAAGAGACAATTGCAGAGAATTTTTGCACTAAAAATGAATTAAAAGTCTACGGGAATCCATGATTTTAGAAGTCAATGAGAATGAACGAAAATTTGAATACGCCTAGACTTTTATAGACTTTTAAAAGTCCGCATTGAATACACCTAGACTTTTGTGGACTTTTAAAAGTCCACATTGAATACACCTAAACTTTTAAAATCCATGGACTTTTAAAATTTTGCCATTAATTCCTAATACAATACACCCCCCGTAGTATTACTTACTAGCTTTCAAGCCCGTGCAGTAATTTACTTCATTTGAAATTTGATTTCTTCCGGATCATATGTAATGTGATTTAAAAGAAAAATAAACTTAGTCTAATTTATAGTCTGTTTCTTAATACTATGATAGATCGAATTAACTTATTTTACTGAAATTGATTAAATCATGGCTGAATGGGCTGAATGAGAAAAATATGTTAAATATATTCCATTTATGAAGCCAAGAAAAGATTATATGAAAAATAGTTAAATTGATCTTCTACATAAGCATCTCAAGTAAATATAATTGTTCTGAACCCGATTTTATAGAATTCATAATCTCACGTCCTCTAAATTACTTTATTATGCACCTCAAATTTTTTTCTTCTACTATTTCACATTCAACTTGATCTAGAATACTGAGTGCATACTTTTAACTTTTAATGATAAGATGTTACATTTTACTCATTGTTTCGTTACATTGAAAACAATACTTTATTTTATTAACATCTAAATTACTTTATTGAGCATTTAAAAAAAACTTTTCTAGTATTTCTCATTCAGCTTGGTATGAAATATACATTTTAAAATTTTAATTGTGAGATCTTACATTTTACTCATTAATAAGGACTTTTTTAATTGAATTAAAATTTTGGGTTTGATTTGGTATGAATTAATATGGTCTGGTAGATGTTTGTTTTACATTTTATGTGACTTATTATTACAATTATTATTATTATTAAAGTTTGATTTGATCTGATTTAATCTGGAACTGAAATCAATCCAATTAAATAAGTTCTATTAAAATAAAAGTAGGAATTTGTAATCATAGAAAGATTTTCTAATTTGGATTAAGAATGTATTTCAAAAGTGAAGGCACATTTAAATTGTAGTTATAAATAAAGAAATGACCAAACATATTTATTTATTTATTTATTTATGCTAAGCCTAAACGTATTTACTTGTGAAAATATACATACATGTATGCATTTATGTATGATATCAATTTTCATCCTTATTAAATAAGGTAAGCAACTTGATCAGAAGTATTCTTTTTAAGATTCTATATTAGAATATCTAATAATTTAAATTTCGTTTTCTAATTTCACTTATATGGTGGTTATAATTTTTATCATTATTTTAATAATTAAGAACGAATAGTATGAAGATGGAGCAAAATGAGAAGTATTAACACAATTGCAAATCCGGGGTTTAGAATTTTAATCATTATCTCTTTCGAAAAGAGAATTTTGATCATTATCTCAACATTGAGTTTAGAAAAATAAAATATTACATTTTAGGAAATGAGACACTATTATTATATTTTTATTTTTATCAAATTACTGTGGAGACAAAATTAATAGCAATTTGACTGATTTATTTGTGAAGTGGGCAAAAAACGAATACTTCATCTCTTTAATAGAATGTAATAATTAAATGATTGTTGCTCCGTGAGTCTGTGCAAATTTGGTTATTAAATGTTGTGATTCGAATTATAGAATTTAATACTTATCAAATATGTAATGGATTTTGAAAAAGTTACCAAATTAATTAAGGTGGATTTCTACGGATTTTTGTTTCCATATCAATATGTCATCAAAAATAGAATCTATCTAATAAAAATAGAAGGTATAAAAATAACTAAATAATTAATACATATAATGAATGACATGGCAGGATTATGTGGCGCTTTGTATGCTCTTAAAAAGTTCATCTTTTATATATATATATTGATTTCATTCTCATTTTGGCACATTAAATGTATTAAAACAATTATATATGTAGATCAACAATGTAATCGGTTACTTTTGCTATTGTGGGATTTATTATTGTTTCACCCCGAGAACAAAATTTTCCTATATGTTTCATTTATGTGGAAAAGAACAGACTTTTGATTCAATATGGTCGCCAGAGACCGGGCAACCGTCTAGCATGGATTATACACAGGCAACTTGTCTAAAAAGTAGACAAATGATCTGTGTATATAGACAACTTTTAGACAAGTTATCTTGTACACAAATGAATGTACACAAAGTGCAACAATGATGGCAAGTAATGCTTCTTTGTTGGGATGCCAACGTTAGGGCACCTATATACCATATAAAGGCGAAGTTTATGCACGAGTTCTATATCATTAAACCTAACATCTACGGTCTGGAACAACCTTTACATCGAATGAATATCATCACATAAAAAAAACCACAGAGATAGCTTTTCCCCATACAACAAAGGGATCTTTTCCAACTCCCCATGATCTTAAACAATATGTCGGCCCAAACTTGGGACAGAAACATACCATTTTGCAGAGGACACAGAGATTATTAGGTAAAACAACTATGCAGCCTTGAGCGCACCCTCGATGCGTTCGATTAAAATGTCAGCAGATAATGCACCCTCCTGTGAAAGGAACACACTGAAATCAACAAAGATGTAGCAGAGCAAAAGAAAGGGTCGAGCATTGTCAAATTATGCTACAAGTAAACATGACAGAAACTTTGCCAGTTCTGATAAGGAGGTACGTAGTATTTCTTTCAAGCAATTTCACTCCAATCTTTTGAAGAAAGGGGTGTGGAAATGAAGTACGGTATTCAATAGAAATATATGCGATTTCCAAGTGTTGTTGCAGGCTTGGTTTTTTGGGTAGACAAAAATGTGGGTTCTCACTAGGGTGTTACCAAATCAAACTGTTTGAGGTGGACTTGAATTTGATCTGTACTCTCGTGACCTGAGACCGAGCTTGAGCTGCTTGAGTCGAGACGAACCCAAGTACTTTAGTACTCGCCTACTCGGAGCAGCACGTGAGCCCAATAGAGTTTTTCTTTTATTGATATATTTTTCATAGGGTTAAATGGTTAATATAAAGAATGCACATTTTATCTTATATATATGTGTGAATAAATTTATCAAATTTAATATTGGATTTATTTTAAATATAATATTTAGTATAGTGAAAATTTTGTTTTATAATATTTGTTTTTATATTTGTGAAAGAATAAATGGAAAAATAAATAAACAAGCAGCCTCTTCAAGCCAAACTCGAATAATTCAATACTTGAGTTGAGTCGAGCTTTGATTTTTTACTTGGCCTGAGCTTCAGGCTTTGACAATTCAAGCTCGTCTAGGCTTGATTTTATCCCTATTTCTTACTGAACACATAAACGGCCTTGTACGGTCAAGTTACTTACAAAGCGAAGGCAAGGTTTCCCATCCTTGAAAAGAATGAATGTTGGGAGTGCTTGAATTTTGTACTTGTCTGCAATGCTAGGATACTTTTCAGTATCAATTTTTACCACATTAATTTTATCCTTCATTGCATTGCCTACTTCGTTGAGGATTGGAATCATGAACTGGCAAGGACCACACCTGCAGGGATACATGAGGATTAACGTTTTTACAAAATCCACCACTAGACGTTCAAGAACTAGAGTAAAGACAGTTACAAAAATTGTATCATGCCACACTCTCTTGATAAGAGAATGCTAATTCATAAAGCAAGTGGTTGGGTAAAAAAATTGAATACAATAATACAAGTAAGAGCACTAAAAAACAAGCTAATCCTTGCATTTGGTCACATCGAACCTTTACGGGGGTCCCTATGATATGCTTCTTAGCACCTCAAAGGCTATTACAGAGTATTTTCTAGAATATACGCAGAATGATAGAATGGGATATTGACCATAAGACGAGTACTATTTCAGTAGTTACATGAAGCAGATTGCCAGATTGAGAAGAATGTGAAGGAGAATAAAAACAATACTCTACAATCTGTAAAAGTTACCAAGTTGCGTAGAAGTCAACTAGAACAGCTTTGTCGCATTCTTCCAGCAGATCATCGAAGGAAGAGAATATCTGTTTCTTTGCCTCAACCTAATAACAGCATATCAAAGTTTCAAAAATAAACCCAACTTATTTAAAAGAACTAATAATAGCAAATGAAATTTTCGAAAATAAACCTAACTTATTTAGAAAAAATATTATTAAAAGAGAATCAAGGTCAATCTTAAATTTCTCAAAGGCACAGATCATGAGGATGCACTAAAACTCCAATAGGAAATGGAATGCATGAAAGATAATGGCAGTGACTCACAGAAGAAATTAAACCAAGAAGACACTGATTGGAAATAGGAGAGAGCTCCCAATCACAATCACTCTTTTGTTGTCAAGCAAGAAATTGAATATGTGAGTGTGCAGACAATTTTGTTATTAGGTACATCATTACATTATTATGTGTAGTACCTTGGTTGAGAAAAAAAACAAATGCACAAAACTTGGAGGCAAAACTAGCTTCACTGCACTCTTGAATTTTTTATATGAATATACATAATCCAAACAATGATAACTCGATATTACTTTATATCATCATCATCATCATTACCCCAATGCCCCAAAGGCTCTCACCTACGGTGGGGTAAGGGGGGTCGATGTACGCAGTCTTACCCTGTACTAAAGCACAAAGAGACTGTTTCCAGATGACCTTGTGAAAATCGCGTCGAAAATTGCATGGACTGACAGCTGCTTCATAACAAAGAAGCGCAGATAGTTTAGTGAGTAATTTTCCTTTATTCCATCATATTCCCAAGCCAAAAAATAGTGAGGCTTTTGACTCCATTCAAAATGATGGAAATCAAAATCCTCAGCTGTCAGCATTCAAATATAATAATATATAAAATGATCAGGGAGGCTATTAAGTTATAGTCTGTTTGAACCTGGAAAATGAAAGGGAAAGAGAATAGGGAGGAAAATGCAGGGATTTTTTTGTTCAAGCTCAATAGTTTTGTTTTTCATATTTGGTCAAACTTATTATATTATTTCTCATATATAAAAATTAAAAAACTAAATATATGTAAGCTTTTAAAAAACAGAAATTATATTTAATTTTCTTCATTTTCCAATATAAAAACAAACTCAAGAAAATAGCTTCCCTTAACCAATTGTTTGATTTTTTCTCCTTTCTCTAGCATTTTTTGTGATCAAAGCATGCCCTTGGCTTAGGCTATGTTTCAAACCAGGAAAATGGTAGGGTAAGGAAAGAAAATGTTAAGGAAAATTATTACCTAATGTATGGCTTTAGCTCGGGAAATGTAGAACAGATTGACTTTGAACTTTGAGGCAATACTTTCATGTTTATTCCACATTCTTTCCTTGTAAAAATTTCTTATGCTTGCTCCATCTTTTCTTTCCATAAATCTTAGAGACTAACAAATCTATAGGTTTAGTAGATCAAGAATCAAAGGACTTGGCAACTCTAATCGCATTTAAAAACGACTAGGCATAAAGAGGACAAAACTCATACTACAAGTTCAGAGCAACCGTTAGCCAAAGCATCGAACCAGAAAGGCAAGAACAACAAAGAATGCACTAGAAAAATGTAGAAGTAAGAGTATTTCACCGGAGCTATAGTTCGGGGCCGTGGCTTCGCCTCGTAACTGTGGATTCCAATCCGCATACCGCGAAGTTCTCCCGGGCATGTAAGGAGTTGGAAGGACGACAAATGAGAGAACTTGGGCGGAGAGGATGGAGTCCGCGGTGCGGCAGCTGAACGGTCATTGGTATTGAACGAGCAAATTAGAGCTGCCTTTGCAGAAATCGCCATTTCTGGCAAAGGCAATGATTGCGAGAATGAGATGTGATATTTTAGGGAACGGTAGAGGTTTACAATTTCGTAAATAAGAAGAGATTGGACGAGAATAACCTTCCACGGCCGTAATTGCCGTTGGTAGCCGGAGCTCTGCGGCCGTAATAGCAAGAATTTTGGTCATGTGTTAACGACCTTTTTATTCCAATATTACTAAAAATAATAATAATAATGAAAAAGATAATAAAAAAAAGTGACTTGTTTCAAATTTTCAAAAAAAGTGACTAAAAGTCATTTATTCCTTATATTTAATCGTATATTTATTCCTTTTACACATTTGGTTACTAGTTCCACCAGCATCTCCGGACAGCCGACCCCAGCACCACCACTGTCGCCGTCACCATAGTCGCCGGCAATCACTATCTTAGTGACTCCGACCAAAGTGACTCCGGTCAAAGTGACTACGGGCCACAGTGACTCAGGCCTAAGTGACCCGTTGCCACAGTGACCCCGTCGTTGCGGCCTGCGACTCCCGCCCCGATTAGTGACTGTCTCCGTCTCCGGGCAGTGACTTAGATGCCACAGTGACTCCTGCATGGCCTCCGCCATGGCCGCCACCGCGCCGGTGACTACCGCCGCCCCCGGGCTAGTCACTGCCTCCCTCCCCGGCCAGTCATTGTCACTGTCCGCCCCTTCCATTGAACCACCTCAATCCAACCATCCCCGCCGACAAGGCGGCCACCACACCTCAACCCAAGCCACAGCCCCGGTCCACCACACCCTGCCCAGCCCCACCACGCCCCGTCACAGTCCCGAGACTCTGCCCCCACCCCTGCCATTGAACCACCTCCTCCATTACCATTCTGACCGGCGACCGAACACCAGCCCAACCCAACCCCAACTGGCCTTCTTGTCAGTACAAGTACCGTGTGAGTAACAGACTAAATATAGAATAACTAGCGTTTCAAGTATAAGACCCAAACATATGGTGATACTTATATAACTAGTCTTTTTCCCCCAAGTTAAGAAATACTTATTAGTATATATACACTTGGAAAATACCTGATCCGTAGATCACCGTTTTGTTTGGGAAAATAGCAATAGTCAATATTCTTGACTAGAAACCCCCAACCCACCCATATACCTATGACTCTATGAGTGTATAGGACTCCTCCCCGTCCATATTTCAATATCATTGAGGATAACATAATCCTTGGGTACTCCACCAATTCATAAATCCGAGTGTTGGGGGCTTTTAGTCCTAGGGTCCTCCACCAATTCATAATTTGAGTGTTAAGGACTTTTAGTCCTAGGGTCCTCCACCAGTTCATAATCCGAGTGTTAAAGACTTTTAGTCCTAGGGTCCTCCACGGCTCCACCGATTCATAATCGGAGTGTTAAGGACTTTTAGTCTTAGGGTCCTCCACCGTTATACATATGAGTTTTGAGGACTCTTTAGTCCTTGGGTCCTCCACCATTAATATTCCTATGATCAACCTCATATCAACCTAGATAGAGTCTATATCATATTTATTTATTCGTAGCTAAATCAATCCATAAAGCTTATGTATCTCAATCCATGCAAAGCCATGCACTTATATAAATATATAATGAACTAATACCAACCGGTATTGATTAATCCATTATCAATCGGTCAACGTTTTCGTTGACCGTCATTTCAAACCTTATATGTATCAACTTAATCATCATATATATATATATATATATATATATATATATATATATATATATATATATATATAAAGTTAATATTATTCATTCTATGCTTCCCTTACCCTTTCAAACATAGCGTGCAATTTCATAGAAATTCCCATATCATATTCCATGCATATTCAAGTAATTCATTTCATACAAGCCTAATCATTTTGGCTAATCACATGTTTAAATACTCTTTAAACATCATTATGAATACATATAACATTTATTTAGGTAATCTCATAATTAACCCAAAAGTTATAAGATATTAAGTTGTCCACTCACCTCGAATTAACGCTATGAAGTTCTACCCCTCTCTGTTGAACTCCGGCAAAACTCCGGTGACTTTTGACGAACTCCGGCGACTCTTTCAACTTCGTGAAAGTTCTTTAAATTCCTTTTACAAGGGCCTAACAAGCTTTTATAATCATAAAACCCATATTAATACAAATAACCTCTAAAAGGTTATTTTCCGGCGAACCGGTCGTTTTGGCTTCTAAGTTCGTTCTTGGACGTAGAACCACCTTCCAACCCATAAATCCATACTTATAACATGTGGAAACTTACTAAGGGTCCTTCATATGATATATACCTCATATGGTGGAAGAAAAATAAAGGAAAAGTTATAATAAGGTCATTACCTTAATTGTTCACACTTTTCCTAACTTTTTCCCTCTTTAATCTTCCTCCTTTGAGCACTTAAGCTTGAGCTCGAATTTGCAGCAATGGAGATGAGTTTGAAAGCTCCTTCTCTCTCCTATGGATGGTTTGGCCGAGATAATGGGGTGAGGGGGGTTGGAGTTGGCTCTTTTGTCTTGCTTGGACAATGAGTGAGGAAGAATGAGGTCCATGGGTGTACCTTTGATGCTCATTGTAACACCCCCATTTTTCCCACCAAAATAAAATAACATTTTGAAATGAAAACATCTTTATTATAAAATATATTTAGAGTACAGCGGAAGTCTTTAATGGAAAAACAGGTGTGTCACCGCCACACTCAACCTATACATGATTGAGTGCACAGGCTATCCACCATAAATTCAAGTAGCCATCGGGTAAAACTTATAACAAGTTTATGGATTACAAATTTAAACAATAACAATTAATCAAACGTGTGCAACTAGCGGAACACTCGGGCAGCAAGTACATCAATCTTCATAATCATAATCATCTGTACAATAGAGCAAAGAGAAAAAGAGAAAAAGAGACAAAAATTAGCTTTAGAGCTAAGTAAGATTCCACCCGAACCCGTAAAATAATATAATTTGGAAAATAGGTTTTTTGTATATGTATATATATCGAAAAGTAGTCTCTCATATTTCCAAAATGGTTTAATGTCATAAAATAATTTCCACAATAGATAATATCATCCTTCAATTCCTCCAAAAGTAATACTTTAGATTCTTTTAAGAGTGGGCGAAACTCAAGATTCCTCGAGCCCAATGAGTCGTTGTTATCTACGACTCATCCCGGAATTCCGGCTCCCACCGACCACCAATTGGAAGCTGAATTTCTACCTTAAGTGTGCACACCCTCTAAAAGGGATTCCAAGCCCTCCGAGTAGTAAGAAACCCAAGTAGGCAGGATGTTTTCTACCACCTACTCACAAGGGACATTGTCCAAGGGTAAATTAGGTAACTACTACTACGACCACCAAAGGATCTTTGATCCTCAAATAAAAGCCCGGGATGTCTACCGGAGTATGTCATTGCCGGACTGGTTACCGACCCAAATAAATTTCACCAAAAGTAGTAGTAGCCCTAACCACCCACGCCTCGTGTTTCTCTCGAGACGTAAGAATATATATTATGAAAACTTTAAGTTTTCCCCAAATCATTCTTGTCACATTTTCTCAAAATATCCTTTGTAATAAATATAAATCCACCAATATTCTTTAATAAAAAGAATATACATTTAATCATCCATAAAAGGTAATAATCCACCAATATTCATATAGTCAAAATATTCGATCCATGTCAAACATATAATTTCCAATTCATAAATAATTCACATAGTGCAAATATTGCATACATATAAGTACGAGGCAAAACATTTTGGTTGACATAGAACTTACCTTAAATTGCGATAATCTCCTTAATAAAATCTCTAGCTTGATCTTCACTTGAATTCTCCTTCTAATATTGATCAAAATTCTAAATCAATAACTATTCTATTATTTCGTTATTTCTTTTATATCCAACCTTTAATTACTTTAACTTCATAATTCCTTCTTTAAATATAAATATTAAATTAATAAATCTTACTAACTATTTATTTCCAGTTCATTCTTATTTTTTTCTTTAATTATAATAACCCAACTCGGTTTTTCTTAATTTGTTTGGTTAAATAGTTAACTAGTCCAATTATATTAACTACATAATAATTTCATTATTTCGAATTTAAATAATCAATTTCAGTTCAAAACTTAGTTTACATAATTTATATAATTTATTTAATAACCCTTTTAATAATAACTTGACTTAGGCAATAATTCGAAATAATAATCATTAATGATAATCTAATCTCAATAACAACTTTAATTAGTTCAATAGTTTATTTATACTAACTAACCCAATTAAATTAATTTATCCAATCCTCCATTTTTATTTATTTGACTCACTAATTTAATTGAACTAACTAAATCAAATAAATAAGTTTAATTATATCAATATAGCTAAATACGTTAATCTAATTCAATTAAGTCCAATAATCAAATTCTAATCTCGTTTTAATTTTCTATTTTTTATATAAAGTCCAGAAATGTTATCAAGTCTATAAATTAACTAATTTATCCATTAAACTAATTGATTTAGTTAAACTAGTCCAATGAAGTCAATTAACTAACTTATTAAGTACACATTACTTAATTAATTTGTTTATATTCATCAACTAATTTTTATGAGTTAAAATAGTTTAATAATTTATATGGAGTCCAAATCACGAATAATCAAGGATAATAATTATTAATTTAATCACGCTAATTTAATTAGTCAACTAATTCAATAATTTATTTATTAAGTCCAAATATAGTCATTCATTTATACTAGATAACCCAACTTTATTTTCTTTTCCTTATTTTATTACAAACATCATTTTAAGTCCAGAACATTATTTTCAATCTTAGTGATTTATTTATTTCACCATTAATATCAAAATTTCCTTATTTAATTACTTAACTAGTTTATATGGCTCAATTAAATTAAATAACTTAATCATCACTTTTATAAATTACTAATCATCCATAACTATAGTTTGGGTCTATACTTGACCTAGGTTGTCCAGATATTTATTTTAGAATTATTTCCTTTATTTATTCACTTAATTTCATATATCTATTAACCGGTTTAATTACAATTAAATATGCTAATTATCATTTTTATTAATTATAAATGGTCCCAAATGTCCTAGTTAGTCATATATTTAATCTAGCTTGCTCCCATATTTATTTCATAATTATTTTCGTCATTTAGTTAAT